GGATCATGACCCGGGCTGAAGGCAGCTGCTTAACCGACTGAGCCACCCAGGCGTCCCAAAATCTAAACCCTTTAATAAGACCTGCAAGGAAGGCCCTGTGTGACTGAGCACAGCACAACACATGTGATCACTACATGCCTCTTCTCCTTCCTTTCTTTGCTCCTTAGGCTCTAACCGTACAGGTGTTCTTTCAGACCCTTTATTTCATCATATACTATCCTAATTCTCTGATCATTCTGTACTTTCTTAGAGTGTTCTTTCTCCCGGTTCTTTGTATGGCTGGCTCTTTCTCATGATTCCATTTCTGATAGCACTGTGATATTTTTTCTTTATAACATTTAACACAGTTTATAATGAGATGTTTATTTAGGTGCCTGTTTGTTATTTATTTAAACCTTGCTCTAGAGCCTTATGAAATACAGATGATGAGATAGACTCAGATAACAAAGCTAGTAATAGCTAGGATTCAGTCACCGTTCTATTACCTTCAAAATTTTCACTGGGGATATTTTAATGAGTGCTTAGTCTGGCAATGTTGATGTTTATTGTATTCTTTTACCATAGCTATGGTACCATTGCCTAATAAAAACATGATGAGTACCAGTAAAGCACAGAAGACAGCCTTTGCCTTAGGAATTCAAAAGAAAGTACTTCATGTTGCCTGGCATGAGAAAAGATACCATAGAGGGGCACCTGGGTGGCTCAGTCGGTTAAGCGTCTGCCTTTGGCTCGGGTCGTGATTCCGGAGTCCCGGGATTGAGTCCCGCATAGGGCTCCCTGCTCCGCGGAAGCCTGCTTCTCCCTCTCCCACTACCCCTGCTTGTGTTCCCTCTCTCGCTGTCTCTCTCTTTGTCAAATAAATAAATAAATAAAATCTTAAAAAAAAGAAAAGAAAAGTTACCATAGAATAAGATTGGGGCTAAACTGGAAACCTAGGGCGCCTGGGTGGCTCAGTTGGTTAAGCGACTGCCTTCGGCTCAGGTCATGATCCTGGAGTCCCGGGATCGAGTCCCGCATCGGGCTCCCTGCTCGGCAGGGAGTCTGCTTCTCCCTCTGACCCTCTTCCCTCTCGTGCTCTCTATCTCTCATTCTCTCTCTCTCAAATAAATAAATATCTTTAAAAAACAAAAACAAAAACAAAACTGGAAACCTAAAGAATGGGTAGGATTTAAATGGGCAGAGAGAAGAAATAACATCATAGGTTAAAAAAAACAGAGACCAAAAATAGAGTTAAAATTTAAAAGCGTGTTTTGGGTACTTTGAAAACACCTGTCCTCCTTGCTGTATTGCTACTTACGTTGTTTGTTTATAAGGCAGTGGTGCCATATAGCTTTATGTTTCCTTTTAATATTAATAATATATTTTTAACAAATGTATTTTTGTTGTACAGCATTTTTTCTAAAAAATATATTCCACATCATCACTGTGTAACTGCTATGAGGGCCAAGGATATAAGTTGAAGGC